CTTCTCCAATTATTTCCAGTTCAAATTTGCCCTCAAAACATGAATTTTTACATAAAAAAAACCTCCTTTGATATCTACATATGTGGTGATGGTCTGTAAATAATTTCTAAATCATAAAATAAGTCTAGATGCAGTTAAATAAGTATATTTCATCTCGTCAAATTTCAATTTTAATGTACAGCCCATGTTAGAGCATGCAAATTTTTCTTTTTAATTCAACGAGCCATTAAACTTAACAAGATTCCCACCCAAAGGCCACAGAAAAGTGAACGCAGTTGGAAGGAAAACTCAAGGGATAATATAATAATTTTGTAATATACGGAATTTTTGCACCCCACGAGATTTTTCGGCCTGCGGGATTATCGGCCTCACGGGATTTCCGGGCCGCGGGATTTTTTCTCCTATGGGATTTTCTCCTGCACCCCTGCAAATGCTGTGTGCTCCACTCTCTCTCTCTCTCGCACACCCCGCACTTCTATTTCTGCAGGAAGTGACGAAAATTCTCCGAGCCTTGAAGGCGTTCAAGCGACTGAAGAATGTCATTGTGTTGTCGAAAAATTTGCTGGGAACCGGTGAAGGGTTGCTGGAAACTATACAAGACTGCTTCGGGCCAGGGTCTGCCTTGCATCAAGCGACTATCGTTTGTGAAGTGGGAGTGGACCGTCGTCACAAGTACATTGCCTGTGACGTCCAAAAACGAAGGAAGTCCGATTTCTCATCAACATTTGTCACGAGATTCTACTCCGAATGGTTTCGCTTTCTGCCTAATAAGTACGTGCAGGGTGAGCTTCAGGTATTCGAGGCGATTTCGGCCATCTTCAGTACACAGCATTAATGAATCGCAACAGTTCCGTGACTTCTGTCATCCTTATTCATTTTTCTAAGCACTCTATACTAACAGCTCTCGGCTATCAGACAAATTCATGATGATTCGTGGAAATGTGCTGATACGTACTGTACTTAGATAGACCCCTTCTTTTTGAATTACTTTCCAAGAAAAGAGTGCAATTGCAGATTTGCAGTGGATACCTTTTTTTCACTACATTTTGGTCAGCTTTTTTATTTGATTGAAGATTGTAATGAGTGCTGTGTTTGAAAAATACAAGGAGGCTTCTCGAGACGTGAATTAGTCGCTGTCATCTCATGCCAGTTTTAACCATTGTTTTGATTTTGATGTTTTTCATTTGCAGGTCATTCTATCAAGAATGAGTGCGAAAAAATGAAGTGAAATAATAAGGTGGTATGTGAAGACAAAAATTTATCAACAGTGGGAGTGTTAAATTTCGGAATTGAGAAGCTGAAGAGAGAGTGAGTGGGTGAGTTCAAACTGTTCATTCATTTTAGTTTCGCGATATATTTTTCCCCTTAACCAACTGCTAATGAATCACCGCTATAAATTTCCCGCGTTCGAATCTGTGGACTTCCCAGATGTTATCTTGCAATCAATCTTGATGTAGAATGTTGGGAGAGAATGGTTTTCAATTGAACGTTAACGCGAGAATGGCCATGACTCGTCTTTCAAATCGGCGGCATTGTCTTTGAGATCAGAGCCGCCTTTTTTCAATACAACCATTTGAATGGGGAGATTTAACTGTTCCATTGACGTTGACAAATCACTTGTGCTGTGTTTCAATGGATGAGGAAGAGTTAGGAGATTTATGGGGGTATTAACAACACCGTTTCGGTGAGAATATAATCGGTGCAGCTGAACAGGGAGGGATTGATGTTCTGCGAATTTGTATTGTTTCGGTGCAGCTGTGGTAGGATATCAGCAAGAAATCTTTCGTTTCAGCGCTGGAATTTTCAGGAAAACGGCTGTTGACCTTGAAGCAGAAAAACAAGGCTTTATTGAGGAAATTATTATAGACAATTTCTTTGGACGGGCTGCGGAGATTTGCCGTTAGTTCCTCGTCGCCTTTGGTGAGATCAACTTTCACCATGAGTTCGTCATGTACGATAGTGTAGATGTTGAAACATACGTCCGGGATTGCTGGGTAAATCTCGGAGTCGACTATAGAAATGAGTGTGTATAGTATACAGTATTTTGAAGCGTGGATTGTTGACTCCTTCGAAACTACTGTTCACTGCAAGTGAAATTACATTTCAACGAACGCTTACGTAAGTGGAAAACTAGGTGCATTATGATGATAGTGAGACTTATTTTTGGTTAATCCTTCTCTGCGCGACTGCTGATGACGTTGGGAATAAATCGTGATATTAATGCAAAGATACTGTTGACATTCATCACTTCCCTACAACAATTTCGCAGGGTGTAATCCCATCATTGATAGAAACAGAATCCAGTGGCAAATCTTCGGATCTTCACATTAAAAATGTTTTGATCATTTAAAGAAACGAAACAACTCCATGCCTAATTGCTACAGGTAGATGAATCTTGTCGAATGCATGAAAAATTTCACTGTTGCCATTTGAAACCGACGCATGACAAATTGGTGTGAGGAAGCAAGTTTTTACGGCCAGGTTTGTGTGCGATTGAAGTAAGAAAGATATGCACCTGCGGAAGCTGTACATTTTTGAAAAGATCATCTTTCTGAAGGAGTAAATTTGCCTGGTTGGCCTGATGAGGAAGGTTCGAGTAGTTAAACTGCATTGTCGGAAGTTCATCCTGAACGAATTGTGTGGTTTTTGTGGATACTGTACTGGAAATTATGGAATGATGGTACTAGCGATCGTTCGAATAATTTTATTTGTGTAAGACTTTGAATCCGTTGACCACGTCTGGTATAATCGCCTTTAATTCAGCGTGATTTCTTCCCCTGTCAAATCGTGTCTCCCCAGCATTTTTCTTATCCTCTCTCGTCTTGATCCGAGGGATGAAGTTCTTAACTGTCTTGAACGGCTTTGGTCCCAGGCGGCGATTAACAAAGGAAAGGTTGTGCGCAGCGAAGGAAATTGCGCGTGTGTGACGTCACAATCCGTTCTGTGACGTCATCAACGCCCGAGTATAGATCGAACCGAGAAATGGCCGCTTCCCTCGTTCTCTACTTTCACTTCTGCTGCAGCTCAATCCCCCCATGCAAGCTAAAACCCGAGAATCACTCCTTCTCGAGAGTATCCGTTTCATGTCTTCCATCTTGAGCATCAATCACGAAAATCCGCAGCATTTGTCTGGTTTGCTCGCGTGTATTTAATGTTCTTGGAAGTACCGTAATCTTCGGAGGAATCAAGATTGGAAGATTATAAGGATTGATTTTCGACTTCTTGGCTTTTGCATTCGTGCGAGAGAAAGGTTGGTTCTCATCCGCACTTGAAAATATGAATGTACAGGAAATGCAAGATAATCTTCGGGGTACTGATTCCTCGGGATATTTGGAATCGGCGAAAAAAAATGACGCGTTTTGTCCTATGAACATGTCTCCAAGGGGTAGTTTACAATTTTTGCTTTCTTATCCCTTCGAAAACCGTGTTGAGTCGTGCGGGATCCTCTTCTGGTTCCTTCCTTTTTCTTAATCAATGCTTCATTTGGAAAACAGGGTGAAAGTGCTATCACATCGGTAAGCCCAATACAGTATTGTGAAACGATCTCTGAAGAAATATATCGTCTGTATTTGGCATCGAATTTTTGATTCTGTTGTTCCGCTATGAGTGCGTTTTTGGTGAGACTGGATTGTGGGCTTCGAGACCTTCGATACATGGAATTGGAGCGACATTTCGCTCCAAATGGTGGCTCACAGAGATGCGAAAAAAATCAGAAGAAGACCATTTCGTGTTATTTCGAACTGTACGGAGAATATGGCGTCGATGAGAGGAAGCGCCTTCGGTTGCGTGAGTTTAACTCTTCATTGTAGCTTTTTTTCGCTTTTCTATACAGTACTCCCAATTCCACGTGTTTTTTTTTTAGATGTACACAAAGAGGAAAATGGGGTGAAACTTGGAGCTGCTTGCAAAAGGCGTAGCCGAAAAGTAGAGAAAATATTCTCGATCGAGGAGCATCACAGCGGAGCATTTGTGCTATCCGCTGTTGAAACGCTGAAAAGTCACTTTGATATGATGCTGTGTCTGAATGAAAACTTTCTGCCTCTTGAACAGAAATCTGTGTATATTTTGAGACATGGAGACATAATTGAGGGCAGGTTCCCCAAAATTCGTAAGTTTGTACGTTTATTCCATTTGCTAGTGCTGGTGTTTTTTTTATATGTTTTGTGATCATTTCGAGATGCTGTTCTTAGGTAACTCTCTTAGTCTGAGAACATTCGAACCTTCTGATGGATTATTCCTCTGTACATCTTTATGAAAACTTATGCTTGCCATTTTTATCTGGGATAAGAAAAAACTTTTTTTGGGGGTTATCCGCATCTCAAGTATCGTATTAAATCTTGAATTCATCAAAAAGCGTGTAATTTACGTTGAATGATTATTTCAGCTTGCTTCAAGATCATGTTCCTCCTCAGTAATGACGTACGAATGAAAGAGCCTCAGAAATCTCTGCTGCTGATGTGTCCCGAGCATGTTCTCAAGAATATTTTCAAGTTTCTGACACCATGGGAAATCATGGAGAATGTCGTTCCCGTTTGTCGGCAATTTTCCCAGCTGATGATGGGTGGAAACATTTGGACTCAGTTCGAGTTCCTTGTTACTGATGCATTTATTAGCTTGCCATTTGGGCACATGGCTGACTTCTTCAAAATTTCATCCCGGTGAGTACCTCTGATATTCCGCTGGTTTTTGTTCGGCAAAAACCGAAAGCCCCCCCCCCCCCCCCCCTTTTTNTAAATTAATAGCAATGTAAAAGTAAAGAGAGTTTACTTCAATTTATGTTCTAAAAGAGGCTGATTTTATGCCTAACATAAGCTTGTTCTTTGATTTTTGGGTTCCTTTTCACATCCAAATGGCAGATTGTGGATGGTTTTCTTCTTTACAGTTCTTTTCTGTATTTTGAAATTGAGAAACAATTTTCATTCCCTTTTGGGGAGGGGGGGGGGCTTTTGGACGGCAACCGTCGGAAGTTCATGCTAGATTCACGTAGAACCGTTCTTTCTTTCCTGAACGTGAAAATTAAGAAATTTATTCAAGTGGGTTAAACTGCCTTGCATGCTTCCATGGACAATATGAGCTTCTATTGGTCTAATGCAACATTCAGAAAGAACTTGTAAAAAAATTATCCTCAAGGACATTTATTAAGTAAGCAAAATTGTTTGTCTTATGAATCATTTCACGCTGTTACTTGCAGGTATGTTCAGAAGCTTACCGTAGAGTTCAGCTTGGAGGAGGAACTTGTGGAAGATCACGTGCCGTTTCAAATTTGGCTACCATTTTTCAAACATGATTGGAGTAAACTGAAGATCCTGGAAATTGAAACTTTTGACGCCGATTTTTTTATTAAGGATATACGGCCCGAATTCTTGATGGGATGTAGCAAGACGTTTACGCACCTGGAGACACTTTCTGTGCGTTGTCTCAGTTTTGGTAACGAGCTTCTTCATCATGCTGAATCTAGCCGCATCGTGTTCCCCAAGTGTCGTGAAGTTTTTCTAAGGTGTTCCTTGGAGAAAATTAATCGTGTGAACATGAGACTGGCTTTTCCCAGGCGAGTGCAGTATATATATTTTGTTTGTGTATAATCTTTCGGTGCTTTTCGAATTTATGGTAGTGAATCTGTGGCTTTCAGATTGGAGAAATTGCATCTAAATCACGCCGATGCTCGTAATAAATTCTTCACGTTCGTTGACGTGACTCGCCCGAATCCAACCATCCGGGAATTTCCCGTCTTCCTCCGTTCTGGTGTACTTTCAAGTCTCCATGCTTACCAGTTGCCTGTGAAATTGGACGCCAAAGGCTGGCAACTGGCTCAGAAAATGGGGGTGTTTTCGAACCTCAAATCCCTGGGTCTGAATGGAAACCTTTTCGACGAAATGCCATCAACAGTTGACAAGGATAAAATATTCTTCCCAAAGGTAACTCAGGTGTACTCAAGGACGTAGTGTAACAAGAGTATTCTACCAGTCTTGAAGATTCTCTATACTGCTTCTCTCCGGTTTACCTTCGGAGTTTCCTGTAAAAATCAATTTATAAAGTCTGGAATTCAATCTTGCTGAACGTTTTTTACAAGTTAATGTCAAACTCATATACAATGCCAGATTGAAAGGATCCACCTCAATTTCGTTGTTCTGAATTACTGTATTCTTGGGGTGGATATCATGAACAAATTGATATATAATAAAATACGATTTTTATGGTTCGTCTCTGTGATAGGGCAAGCAGTTTGGAGAATATAGGAACAGACAGGAAGTATGTAACGTAATCAGAATGTTTTGAATTGGTACCGTTTCGTTTGTATAATAGTGTATAACCCAAATAAAGCGCATGCTGAACATTTGCGCGGTGATCTATTTGCTACTCTAAAATCTACCACGGTTTTTCGTTTGCACCTGTAGTTGTCTCAAATTCTATATTTCGCAGTTAAAATCGCTGTGGATGGAAGAGGCATCGCCAATCAAATCCGTGCATCATGTATTATTGATGCCATCATTGGAGAAGCTTTGGATCAGGAATGTCCCGGAAGAATCTGTGAAACCCACCCAAAGAGTGCTTCGATCACTGAATATCTTCAATACGGCCTCCGAAGAATGGTTTGAAAAAATTAAATGCATCGCAGCTGACCTCTGGGAGACATCCATTCCTTATTCAAGAATGAGCAACCTGGAATGTGCGGCAATCTTTTTTCTGCACAAGGCTGTCAATAAAGACCCGGGAAACATCTTCAAAGAACTGCAATGCTGCTCCAAGCTCAGAGGATTGATTCTGAATCTACCGGATGACCTCCAGTTGGAAACCGTGGGCCAACTATCTCAACCATTGGAGTTCATTGCATTTCCTGGGACCAATCTTTCGAGGTCATGGGATGCATTTCGTTTTATTTTTACTGAGTGTAAGGATTCGCTGGAGGATCTGTGGATTCAAGTTTCCGACGCAAAGGTGAGAGTGTTGGCTACTTAACAAGTATGAACATTTCATTTGTTTTTAAGCTCTGTTGAATCAATTGCTCTATAGATATTCGAGCTATATTGAACTGATGTATTGTGCTGCAATATTTAATGACTCATCGTATTTTCCCTCGAATATCTGTCATATATGTTCAAGAACGTTTCAAGGCTTGAAATCTGTTCGCACTTGACATTCAGCACCTTCAGTTGGGTTTCATGAAAAAATTATCCTTTATGATCAAGTTGAAGCTTTGCCTTTGCGAGGTATTTCCGCAGATTCGAACGTTGAAAAAATTATGAAACTTACACCATTTGCATCTAGAGTGCATAACCATTTGCAAATGTGAGGTTTTTTGTTTTGTTCGTAAGATAATTGCAGTACTTGGAATTTGTAATGGTGTGGAGGTCGGGGTTTCCGCTGTATTTTTTGGAACTTACCCTCTCATCCAGTCTCCTTTTTTGCTCCTTGAATCATTTCGCAGGAAGTGAAGCAGATTCTTCGAGCCGTGAGGACGTTCAAGCGACTCAAGAATCTGGTGTTGGTGTTGAGCAAGCCAATGATGGGGGGCGGAGATTACCTGGCTGATCAGAGCTGCTTTCTGACAATAATCGAAAAATACTTCGGCCCGGAAAGTAGCTTGAAGCAAGCGACGATCATTCGAGAGTTGCAGGAAGGATACGGTCACAATCAGCTTACCTACAGCACTGAACTGCGAAGGACCGCATTGTTCTCGTACTCGTTTTTGACGAGATTTTATACCGGATGGTTTCAGCATGTGCCCACCAGGTTAGCGCAGGGTGACCTTGGGGTATTCGAGGGAATTTTATCCATCTTCTGTCGAGCGCCATTCTATCATTGATCAATCCCAATGCCTCACACTACTTTCTGTAGATTAATTTTCTCGATTTCATTTTCTAAAAGTTTGCGATTATGAGTTGCTTAGACGATTTTGTGTACATTAACCATGTTGATTTTCGAAATTATCGCAGTGAAACAGGAGTTCATGATGAATACATGTTGTTTTTTCGGCAAGAAATGCATATGAAGAGTTTTCTCCAACATCCACGAGTATTATCTACTACAGATGCGCAGTGTTCTTAAATCTTGCGTTCCTCATTTTCAGGTTAATCTTGCGGTCGAGAGAAAGTTGTGAAATAAGTGATGCAGTGTTTGCGAAGGTATGAATGGCGAAACTACAGTACACGGTACTGTACTGGTGTCAATTGACAGGTAGACCAGTTAGAGAGGCAGTCGCGGAGTGAGGTTGTGTGAACGTCGTCCAATATAAATTTAGTTAAGTATACCAGCCGCACACAGGGAAGATATGCGGGGCAAGGAAGGATTGGTATTCAAATTTAAACAGGTTTATGGTTGTAAACAGGTTACACACTGAGAAGTGTGAAGTTTTCAGCAAAACTCAGAATCACGGATACCTTTTCTGCTTTGAAGTAGGCCATTGGGTAGAGAATTCGGTAATGAAAGTTCTGTACAGTACTGTATTCGATTCTACTGTACCACAATTTTGTACAGTTCAATATTCAAGAAGTTGCTCATATACCGTCGTTTAAATCATGAATTCAGCGCAAATCTGAAGTCTCGAGGGTTGGCCTAATTAGGCATATGAGTACCGTTTGTGCTGAAATATTTGTCTTGAAGTGCGTGCTGCGCCAGTGTTGTGTCTGAATATTCCTTCTGAGTAAAAGTGTTACGGAAGTGGTCGAGATTACGGGATACCGTAGTTTCTTCCCGGGAAGCAGATGAACTGCGTTAACAGTCCCTCTATTGTCTAGGCAGCAGCAAAAAGTTCACTGATGGCCGATCACTTCTGGCACACTTCAGCGGGGCTAAGAGAATGGCGGAGACGCGTGGACGGGAGAACGTTTAATTTTATCGCTGATATGCGCGAAGTCAATGAATGCGGTACGGTAGTGCGACTCATTTACACTCGTACATCTACACTTCCGCCCTCGCCCTCAGAAATTACCCCCCAGGGAGCCCGACTGGTCGCCTCAATCATGTCGCCTGCGAAAACAAAATGGCCACCCTCCCTTAGCTGACGCCGCGTATGAGCATACTGTAAAACAGTCGAATGATCCGTAACGTTTTCCTGCTTCCGGTGCGCCTTGTCGAATGGTCATCAGTTGAGTGCGTATTCTTTTTATGGTGCAATCGGATTTCCGATTCTTCGTTTTTCTCCACGATTGAAGTGAATCTGTGAGCTGTTGGCAGTTCTTTTTTTTAACCTCCCATTTTTCGCCCGCGCGAGCCCTTCCGTACGAACTGCGTGTGACCGCCTGATGCTCTTCGTTGGATGAATTCATTCACGTACGTGACGCGAACATTTCAGAGGCGATTGTGTGTGATTTTGAGACGATATTAATGAAACGCTACTGAGAAGTGTGAAGTAATACTGCTGTAAAATAATTATAGTTTCTCCGTGTCAGTGGCCTGCTGCGATAGGACTCTCTCCGAGTTGAGCACAATATAGGTTACATATATTAGGAATGGATAACGTTGAGCCATTATGACAATTCATTTCAGAAAAGGAAAATATTTTAGAGAACCACGCAGGCTATACTTCAATTCAACATGTAGTATAAATGAAAACATGCTTTGAATTTGGCGTGTAAACTTCAAAGGTTCAGTATTTACTCTTGAATGCTTTTGCGTTGGAATATTCTCGCGCTATGCTTGGATTTGCAGTTTTTAACATCGATAATTTTTATCAAATCGAATTGTAAACATTATTTTATCGAGCGTAGTCCGCATTCATCCAAGAGTGACAAATATTTATATTTTATTCGGCGACATCAGCGTTTACGAAGACCATCACTTGAAGAAAGTGTATCCTATTTGTCCATATTTAGTCAAGAAGACGCGGTATATTTGTCTAATGGTCTAAATGTAAACTACAATGCAGGTTCCTATTCTTAGAAGTTATCTGTAATAAGGTCGCAAAACTTATCGTTTTCACGATGAGCGCGTTTCTGGTGAGACTCGATTATGGTCTTCGCGATCCCCGATACATGGAACTGGAGCGAAGTGGTCCGATTGACGGGTATTCAAAGGGATACGAGAAGAATCCGAGGAAAACCGTCGCATGTTATTTTGAACGCTCGGAAAGAGAGGGAATTAATGCGAGAACGAGATTTCGGCTGCGTAAGTCACTTATATTCTACTTCCATTTTTGATTTTTCGCTTTATTCGGACGTTCCTTGTTTTTAGATGTTCACAAACAGGTAAATGGGGCAAAACTTGGAACACCCTGTACGAAGCAACTTAGCTTGGAGAAAATCTTCTTCATTGAAGAGGATTCAAGTGGATCATTCGTACTAACCCCGGTTCCAACACTGGAACATCGCTTCAACTTCTTGATATGCATCAATGGTGATGTTCTGGATGTTGATGTGAAACCCGTGTGTGTTTTAAAGCATGGAGACGTCATCGAGGGCATGTTCCCTACAATTCGTGAGTCTTTTTGTGATTATTCTGAGCGGGTTGATTCATCAAAAAGATTCCTTGGAATCAAGTTTTTCAAGTATTCAAGCATCCTTTCTGAAGTCTCTTTATTCTTCGAGTGAAGTGCATGACTCACAGAACGATTTGTCTTCATTCGCTAAGGGTTACCTTCAATTGTGCTCCCGATTTGTGCGGCTTATTGTGTTCACCGATGACCTTTGCATTCCGTAACCTCCACTTCCTAAAGAATCGGGAAACGAGTCCAGGAAATCTTCCAACTTTGCGTCCATCTATAGATATCTTTTTCTGAGAATGAAGGATAATGATATAATGTAAGGGAGTGCATCGCGAACAAGTTTCTTTCGTAAACTGCAGGATCCTGATGCATCCTAACTGCTCTTCTCGAAGCGTTGTGTGCTGGAACTACCCATGCATGTGACTGACTGGTATGAAACAATTAAGCATAACGTATGTGTTCAGTGGAAAAATATTACTTGACGGAATTCCAGCAGCGCATGGGTGAACGTTTGAACGCTATGATAATACGGTAACTGCTGCGGACATGCTCAAGCAGTTCGGAGTAATGATACTTGATGCTGATAGCTTTGATTTATTTCGTAAGTGGCGATGAATGATTGAATCATTCCCTGATTTCGTGTTGCAGCTTGCTTTCGGTTCGTGTTCTTCCTGAGTGATGAGCGTCACCACGAAGAGCGATCCCATCAGCATTCGCCTCTCCTTTCGTGTCCTAGACGCGTTCTTGAAAATATCATGAAGTATTTGACTCCATTTGAAGCGATGACGAACGTTGTCCCAGTTTGTCGGGAGTTTTTTATGACCATGAGGAACGGAAGGATTTGGACTCATCTCGAATTCCGTGTTCTATTTGGGGTCACAAGTGTTCCATTTGGACACATGCTCGACTTCTGCAAAGTCGTTTCTGGGTGAGTTCAACGTTGCCTTCATTAATCTGGATTTTTAATTTGTGTTCAGTTTTTATTGAACCATTTCAATACGCGTCCATCTATGAGTTTATACAGGCAGAGTCTCTGCAACAAATTTGTCCGCGAGAGTATTCTGTGTAAACCGATTTTTGTGTGTCCCGAAGTGGTTCTCAACCAATCCCATGAGGGGTTCTCCACGATAAATTTTTCCTGGTCCCCCGACTTTCGTTGGACTCTCCTTGCTGCGAATTTCATGGTACCAGAAAATGTTTCAGAGAGAATTTCGTTGTAGAGAACAGTTCGTTGTATTTACAGTAGTGAAATTTCGATAGACGCCTGTGGGACGAAATCAGGGTTGTTCTGCAGACAATAACATTGTAGAGAAGGCCTAATTTGTTATTAAAAAATTAAATGTAACACAGTAGTTTCTGAAGGAATTCGTTCAAGTTATTTACAGTAGTTCTTTTGAAATGGCGCAAGTACCATTGAGTTTGGGCGCGCGAGAAAATAATTATTTGATAAAAGTAAACAAAAACTCCATCTAAGAATCATAAATTCTGTGTCCTAAGTACTCATGAAGTTACCGCATGCGCTTCAGTTATCTTCTTGATTCATATTGTGATGACTTATGTACATACTGTAGGTATGTTCGGAAGGTATCAGTGGACTTCAAAGTGGACCCGAAGTTTCAAACAATTCCGTCGCAGGATATGTTGCGATCGTTTTTTAAACACTACGGTTGGCGAAAACTGGAAGTGTTGGATATTGCCTCTATGGAGTCCAACAAGGATGTGTGGGTCGAATTTATGTTCAGAAGTGGAAAATCGCTGACGCAGTTGAAGACGCTGGCAGTGCGTGATCTAGCCCTGGGGAACTTGCTGCTGAAAATGCCGAGAATTGCCAAGTTTATGCTTCCCAATTGTCGAGAAGTCACTCTGTGGTGTGAAATGGAACTTATGTATTTTCCATTTGTGGACTTGACACCGTGTTTTCCCGGGTAAGAATTATTCTAGCTGAGGAAACGATTTTTTATTCATTGATTCATGCACTAATTTTCGCGCTGTTTTCACTCTTGCAGGATGAAGAAACTGAACCTCAATCACGCTTTGATACAAAGTGACTTGTTTTCAGCCATCAATGAGGGACAACCCTTTGTTTCACATCCTTTCGTTCCGGCGTTTCCTCACTTCATTGGTTCTGGTTTGCTTTCAAGTTTGCATGCCTACATGTTGCCAGTGAAATTGGATGCAGATGATTGGGAACTGGCTCAAAATATGGGGATTTTTGAAAATCTTGAATCTCTGAGCTTGAATGGATATCTTTTCCGTCACATCCCAGCTGTTCGTAATGGAAATGCTTTCTTACCGAAGGTGATTCTGAGCATTTCGTGGTTTTAAGAAGGGAAAGAATTTTCTTTTATCCTTGATCAATTATACTGTGTAACAAAGTTATCAAATTCCAGTCGTCCGCATTGGCTACATTTAACATAGAAACTGTTTTATGCGCGTTCTATGAAGTATTTTTTTGCTTGATGCCGTGAAGATTTTGAACCCTCTTTCTTTTGATTCCTCTTTCGATTATTTAGGCTTATCATTGAAATTTTTTCTATTTCTTGATCTGTGAGTACCTTCGAAAGCCAATAAATGTTGGCTGCAAGTACCTTCACTAGATTCATGAATTATAAATTTCAAGTACAGTATTATAGAAATTGCGTTCCAAAAAAATTATACAGTATCACATGCTGTAGAATCTTGATCCCGTGAATCAAAATACGTACACTTTTTGCATCCTGTAAAAAATTTGCAGATGAAATCATTATGGCTGGAAGAAGCTTCACCCATGAAACTCGTTCATCATCTGCTGCTGATGCCATCATTGGAAAAGCTATGGATTAGGAATGTTCACAGAACATCATTTGCTGGACATTCCCAACGAGTGCTACGAGCGTTTCGTGCTTTCAATCACTGCTCAGAGGAATGGCTTTCAAATCTGAAATGCATCGCTGTTGACCTGTGGGAGACTTCAATTCCGTATTCAAAGATGGTCAACCTGGAATGCGTGGGATTATTTTTCAAAGACAAAGCTTTCAATAAAAACCCAGGAAGCGTCTTCGAAGAACTACAATGCTGTTCGAAGCTCAGAGGATTGATTCTCACCTTACCCGATGATCTCCATTTTGATACTCTTCGCAAATGGTCTCAACCCTTGGAGTTCATTGCATTTCCTGGTACCAAACCCTGCCGTGCCCTGTCTGCATTGCTTTGTATGACTCAGGTGCAGAATTCGCTGGAGGATCTGTGGATCGAGGTGTATAATTCGAAGGTAAGATCGATGTGTGTGAGAGGATGATAATGCAGGAAACATGATTACATGTTTCTGTCATGCGACTAAGAGGTTGCTGGTGCCTCTATAGTGTGCTGTAAAATTATACGAAGTACATGCGGGAATCTCAATAAAGTGTAATAGAAACTGCACGAGTGTAGCTCACGATTTTTTTTTTTTTTTTTTTTTT